AAGATACTACTGAGTTACCTGCTCCTTTGTAGGAGGGAAATTTTCGATGGCAGGTAAGAGAACATCCATAGGCATCTGGAAGAATCCAGAGCAATGCAAAAATGAAAGAGACCAGACTTAGCCAAGGCTAGGAAAGCAGGGCATGGACCAGGAAGATGAGTCGCTGAAGGTAGGGAACTTGTGATCTGGTGAGGCCTGGCAGTTTAGGATAGATGTGGAAGTGAGGAAGGCCAGGAGCCAGGTGCTTCAAAGTGTTTAACAAATCTCTGACTCTGGACTGACATAGCTTGAAGGCCAGCAAGGACTGTGGTATGCCAACATAGGTATCTGTCACTGTGGAGCCATTTGACCCTCCAGGCAGAGGCAAAGAAAATGACTCCTTTTAGCTGACTAGCCAGTTTCACTAGTTTCTGAAGAATGTTGACTTTTATCTAACTACCAGAAATCTTGAGTTCAGTTTGAACTTAATTTAGGTGCAATTTTGGACCAAAGCGGTGGCCCTGACTTTTGGGGGAGAAATAGGGCATTTAAAGAATTTCAAAAAAGTATCTGAGGCAAAAAAGTAGAAAGGTGGAGCTAAAGAGTATGAGAAAGTCAAGCGTTAAAAGGACTTTAAAGGAACTACAGTAACGAACACTGGACAGAAAAGAAATGCAAGAGGAGACATAGACAAGAGACAGAGACAGACAGACACAGAGAGAGAGAACAAAAAAAAATCCCACCACCACCAACAAAAAGCCCTGCAAACTAAAGCATAAAAAGGGTCAGACAAATTAATATACAGAATGAGAGAGGAGCAACAGCTGCTGGAATTCCAAGGTGACAGTGCAGCTGCCTCCAAGAGAGGAAAGCTGAAGAAGCCATGAGCCTCAGGACACCACCCATGCTCCAGTTACCTGTCCTGCCACCCTTCAGGGCAGCCCTGGTGGGCGGGAGGATTATCCCCCTCAGGCTCCTAGGAGTCTTGCCTAGGCTGGCGCCTTCAAGGCGGGCTTTAAACAGAGGTAGCAGCAATGTGTCCAATACCGTCATGCAGAGCCCTGGACCCGACAACAGGACACCTGGATAGGCGTGCCTCTAGGTGGGCTCCAGGCCTGAGCAGAGGGGTGGGCACGGAGCCGGCAGGGGAGACAGAGTAGAGATCCCTGGGCGGGCAAGAAGAGCGCCCTGGGAGGACATCCACAGCAGGCAGCAGGACCTGGGCTATAGGAGCCCCGTGCATATTTGGAAACCAGTGCGGAGAAGCCCTGAGGTGGGTACCGGGGAGCGGCCTGTGTAGTAGGCTAGATGTGTGAGCCGCAGCCGGGATCCTTAGCACACCGAGGTGAAGGGCAAGGTGGAGCAAGTAGAGGAACTTTGTCCCGCTTCTCCACTGGCTTCCAAACGGGTTTACTAGGGCCAGATGGGGCGCGCGGGGCGCGGGGCGCGGGGCGCGGGGCGCGGGGCGCGGGGCGCGGGGCGCGGGGCGNGGGGCGCGGGGCGCGGGGCGCGGGGCGCGGGGCGCGGGGCGCGGGGCGCGGGGCGCGGGGCGCGGGGCGCGGGGCGCGGGCGGTTGAGTATAAGAGTTGCTGGTTCTGGCATTTTGGAGGTCCATATCCTGTTCCATATCCACTGCCCAGCTGAAGATCTCCAGCCCTTCACAACAGAACCAGGGAACCCAAGAGAGCACAGCACATCAACAGGCACCCAGCCAGGTGTCCAGCATTGCCTCAGGCTCCTGGAGGGAAGGTGGAGGCATCTAACGGGGGTAGGGGTGAGTAAGTTGACCCTTTATCCCTTTAGCTAACTGTCTCTTCCCTTTTCCCTAACACAGCCATGGACCCAGGCACCAGCAACCAGGATTTCTGCACCACTGAGGCCCAAGGGGAACCCGCAGATGCAACTGCTGGACATGAGTTCTGTGACAACTACACCAACAAGACCGCAAATTTTAACAAGAAAACACCAGCACAGAAGAGGCAGAGGAGCAGATCTTCATCCCTGCACCAAAGGAACATCGTGGGCCACAGAATCTCTCACAAGTGGAAGGAAGGGAATGGGCCCATCACCCATTGGAGAGGAACGGTTCTCCATCAGGTTCCTCTAAATCCCCCTCTCTATCTTGTGAAATACGATGGAATTGATTGCGTCTATGGGTTGGAACTTCACCACGATGAAAGAGTGTTGTCCCTGAATGTGCTCTCTGAGACAGTCAAACCATCCCCAGTCCCTGATCCTAACTTTGCAGATACCATAATTGGCAAAGCGGTGGAGCACTTATTTGAGGGTGAGCATGGTGCAAAAGATAAATATAGGGGGATGGTTCTAGCCCAAGCTCCTATACTTAATGCCTGGTTTTATATTACCTATGCAAATGATCCCATCTTATACATGTACCAGCTTCTGGATGATTATAAAGAGGGCAACCTTCGTATCCTGCCAGAGTACAATGAGGTTCCTCGACCAGATTTAAGAGTGAAATTTAAGGATGGTCTGATAGGCAAGATTGTGGAATATACCCAAGACGACGGTTCCAAAAGGACCGGCAAGGTGATTGGCGAAGTAGAAGCCAAACCATCGGTGTACTTGATGAAATTTGACGATGATTTTCATATCCATGTCTATGACTTAGTGAAATATGTCTAATTGGCAAAGTTATGCCACAACTATTGAAATAAAGTTGTCATTTTCAAACGTTCAGTGCCTGTTGCTTTTAAGTGTGTTGGGAGCTCACCATGGGCATAAGTTTGTCCTGATGAATACACATTTCTGTGGGTATGGCCTGCTGTCTGTAAGCACTTTGCCTTGTGGAAAACACTGGGTGTGTTTGCCGGGTGGAGCAGGGAAGGAGGGAGCAGCTGTCAATTCAGCCTGAGAGAGGAGGGAGCTAGTATCATCTAAAAATGGAATGGGACTGAGCAGGTCTGGTCGGGGGAGCGAGGATGAGGAGAAGGAAGTGGGGTTGGGCTGTGGAGGAGGGGACTGCCTAGGGAGAAGTGCAGGGGAGCCAGAGTGAGAGAGAGGCTCCCTGGGGGTGGGACAGAGTGAAGGAAGAAACACGGATTGGGAAGGGCAAGAGGGGTAACAGAGTGAAGCCTTCTGGCACCTTCTGGCTTTCAGAAAACCAAAGGAACTCCTGTAGGAGAATACTCACAGCAGTGTGAAGAGGGACACAGGACGGGTAGAAAAGTCTGTTGGGCAGGGAGGTCCCTGAGGAGAGCCTCTGAGACTTCAGAGGTCAGGGGGACCCACACATAGGCCATGGTACACTATAGGCTTAACTGGAAGGAGATTTCCAAAAAGAATCACCTGATGCATCCACCTTCTACTGTCTGGTTCTCCATAGTGGCAATGTTCAGCTGTCAAGCAAAGCACCCATGTTAAAGGATCACTGAATGTCCTTTCTAAGGGCCTACTGGGAAAACGGAAGCCAATGTCAAGATTGTATCTACACATCAAGCTTGTCTGTTTTCAGAGAGTCTGACACAGTCTGAAGCCTAAGCAACTACCAAGAATTCATGGCTAGCTCTGGGCAAAGGGAAAGTACTTTCTTTGGGAAAATAGGTCCTTGGTGAATCCAGGAATAGCAGTCCTGATGCTGTCCTTCTGCTTGTTGGAATCGTCCTTGCTTTCCTGGAGGGATGGGGCATGTGATGTCTGTGCCTCATGTCTCCGAGGTATAGAGAGAACCTGGTTGTCCATGCTCTGTCACAACTGCCTGGCTCCATTCAGTTCTCATGAAAAGGGAAACTGCCCTTTCTTAGGCATCTTATCCTGGTTAGACTCCCTGAAAAGCCTGTAGCAACTGACACCGTCTTGGTACGTCCTACCCTAACCAGATTCCCCTTCCTTTTGATACTCACAGCTACCCCTGATGAAGATGTGTGCATCTCTCTTTTGCAAGAGGGTGGTATTACCTGGGGATGCGGGCAGGGCTGGGGATTGTGGCTTTGATGTGTGCATCTCTCTTTTGCAAGAGGGTGGTATTACCTGGGGATGCGGGCAGGGCTGGGGATTGTGGCTTTGCCTAACTAACTCCTTTTGCTGGAAACTTCTCTTTGAACGGGCTGGGCTCTCTGTGAAGAGAAACTGGGCATGACAGGAAAGTGTCTCACAACTGTGGAGTCCAGGACATGGGCCTCTGTCCTCATCTTCTGCTCTCTGTTGTCATTCCCCAACCTTCCAAAGTCCCTCTGAGAACACTGTGTGTGCTCTGCCTCCTCCTTCACCTGTTGCCTCCCAAGAGAACTGTTTTTCTGGTTCATGCTGTGGGGGTCTTCCTAAAGACACACTTGGAGCAAGCAAGGATTTGCCAGACAGTGAAAGAAAGCGCTAAACCTCATCGATGCTCACCACCGAGCAAGCGTTGACTCTATAGATTGATTGCCTCAAGAATGACACATGACAAGCACACCTCACAAGGGCAGCCTTAGTTTTCTTTCCTACATCATGTGGTTTTTTTTTTCTCAGACAACACCAGCAGTTCCTCTGGGGAGCACTTCTGCCAGTTTCCATGTTTGTTGTTTAGTTGTGGTCTGCTGTGTTCTCTCTCTGGTTAGACTTGTGGTAAATTTATATCACATAAACGCCCTGGGATAGGACCCATCTCCCAACAGGGATACAAGGAAGGAATGGTTGACCTCATTTTCACCTGGGAAAGCTTTTAGTTGGCCACGCCTTGGTAAAATCTGAGTTGTGCCCTGGAAGGAGGTTCATTTGCAGCTTTATGCCTAGAAGCATAGATACCTGTCTGATTTTATATGCTCAGTCCCATAGATTGTTTATTTGTTTTATCTTCAGCTCATAAACACTTTGGTTGGGCTGTAACAGGCACTGTATGGGACACAGAGGTGAGGTTAGTGGGTACAGCAGATGACCAGATTTTATCCTCATGGATATTCCTTTGTAGTGTTTCAGATGTGTACTTATCCATGTAGTTCATAAATCTATGATAAATATTTTCATATTCATAAGTGATAAGAAAGGACACACCTAGGCCAGGATAGTAAAATAAAGTTTGAAGATTGTGCTCTTTACAGAGAAACAGAGTGTCCAGGAAAAGTTTCCTGGATCCTCTAGTTTTGGAATGAAAACAAAGGTAGTGAGAGTGTGGCCCTTTGGCAGCAGTAAAGGAGAAGGTACATTCCAGGTAGAGTGATGACAGATGCTGAAGCTCAGAGAAGACCTGGCACATCTGAGGAGAAGAAGCTGGGGTGGCAGCATGATGGGGTCTGATGGAGAGAGGTAGAGAACTGTGGGAAGTGATCTCAGAGAAGTAACAAGGGTGCCAGAGAGACCAAAGCCCTGCAGGTTTCAACCTTACAGTGGAATTCTGCTTTTCCCTTGACTGAGACTAGGAGATAGTTGGGCATGTAAAACAGAAGTACAGCATGATTTGTGATACATTTTAACAGGCACCCTCTGGCACCTCCAGATAACCTTCTTTAAGTTCCTGAAATCAGGAGCACCAAAAAGCAAATATTCCAATGTGAATGTGTGCATAGATGAGAATACATTTTGCACCCAAGAATCGTGCCATAGTATACCTCAGATATCCTTGGAGATAATAATTACTCAATGACTATTCTTTTTAACAGTGTCTAGGAATTGTGGCCCACTCAGTGAGGTCTTTGTGTCAAATACAATCCTGTGTGTACTAGAGATGAGTCATTTATTAATATTTAGATGCTTACTTACCCAGATAAGCCTTCCATGCTGACAGTGTACCCAAGGAGGGATGAAAGGCTGAGCCAAAGTAATGTAAATTCTCTGAAGCAATATGCCCTTTTGAAATACACTGCTAAGCCTAGTGTCTAAAGCCCATGAGAAAAGTAAAGATCCTATCTTTAGTGTATGAATTCATTGTCCCGCATAAGCTCCTATGGAATGACACTATTAGTAGGTGTGGCTTTGTTGGAGTAGGTGTGGCCTTGTTGGAGAATGTACGCCATTGTTTGGGTGGGCTTTGAAGTCTGCTATATGCCCAAGCCACACCCAGTTTCTCAGTCTACTTCCTATTGCTTTGTGATCAAGATGGAGCCAGCACCATGTCTGACTGCACACTTTTATGCTCCCTGCCATGATGATAATGACTGAACCTCTGAGCTGTGAGCTACCACATTGTTCAAATAGTTTTCTTTTCAAGAGTTGCTGTGGTCATGGTGTCTCCTCACCTTAATAGCAACCTTAGCTAAGGCCCCGAGTTATTATTAATATAGCCAAAAAATTTTCTGCTATGTTAACCAAGTTCATTGGAGGGTAAAAACATTAACATTCAGCCAGTTGTGTTGGCACACAACTTCAAGTTCAACAACTGTGAGGCAGAAGCAGGTGCATCTCTGTGAATTTGAGGTCAGCCTGGTCTACAAAGCAAGATTCAGGACAGCTGTGGGTGTATCACAGTAATCCTGTCTCAAAAACCAAAACCAAAGTAAAAAAATATTAACATTCTTAATGGGAAGCATTTACCTATGGCTGCTGAATGAAAACCTTTCTAAAGTAAACTATATGCTGACAGCAATTAGGATTTTAACCCCTGCTCTAAAATAATAAGTAATATGGAAAATATGTGTAGTTCAGTCTGGTAAGACATCAGTCATCAATGTTGCATACAGAGTCCAAAGTAATCAGCATGTCCGTCTAAAGTCCCAGACCAAATTGCTCTGCGTGGTCTCTGACTCCATCCGTTTCTTCATCTCAACCACAGCAATTTTCAGGAGCAAAATACTTATAAATTGGAGCCTTGGAGCCTTTATCCAATGCCATATAAACCAGCAGAGTAGGTTCGACTTTGTTTTGTGAAGTACTTTGACTATAATGGCTCTGTTAGGCATGGATGCCCAAAATCTCTGGCTACCAGCCTCAATGGAGGCAAAGGCTACTGAAGGCATGTGGAAGTTGTGCCTCATTTTACAGGGAGAATCAACATGATGATAGAGTGTTATATATAACACATTAAATGACACTTCGAGCAATAGAATGTATCTTACACGTACTGAGAACTATTGTCTCTAGTTCATGGCACAAGGCAGTAGTAATTGTGGACCATTGCTTAAAACCTACCTGTTTCTTCTTGGTTGATCCAAGACAAATAAACAGACTCTTAGGAAGAGAGAGGAAAAATCGAATCCCTTATATAATACTCAATGAAAGTACTGGTAGTAAGAATAAAGATCTTCCCAGCTCCATCAAATCTCTAAGAGGAGCTGAGGTCTTGTAGCAAATTGTCAAGTTCATCCCAGCTATGGCCTAAGCTGTTGCAGATATAAAGACTGTAAGATCATTCTAGAAACTGATATAGCAAATCAACACAGTTTTTTGGAGATTTATTATAGTTTTTTATACCATTGCCACCAGTGAATTGGGATATATTTTCTTTCTCATAAAAAAATGATGTAATATGACTCAATGTGCCTTTTTTTGGTTTTTAGGGGTTTCATTTTTTTGAGACAGGATTTCTCTGGAGCTATGGACTCTGTCCTACAACTAGCTCTTGTAGTCCAGGCTAGGCTCAAACTCACAGAGATCTGCCTGCCTCTACCTCCCAAGTGCTGGGATTAAAGACATGTGCCACCACTGCCCGGAAAACTTTGTTTTTTAAATTGCCCTAGTGGAAGTATGCTTTAAAGAAATAGTGTTTGTTACCC